ATTATATATATAAAACAAACAGACGACAACATCCAACAACAAATCTACCGTGAAGACACAGACAAAGGCACGCGCATCTCACTCACCTTGCTCGTTTCCTTTGGCCGAGGAGAACTTGGGCAGGGGGATGTCTTTACCTGCACATACCACACGGGCATGGGGAAAGACAAAAGAAAAAAAAAATTGAGTTATAAACAACTGACACAGCCAACAAACCCAACAGTACATTTTCTGGTGCTGAGGCGTGATTTGAAAAACAAAAAAACAAAAACAAAATCAAAACAGAATAACAACAACAGCCCCCCCCCCAACACACACACACACACACAAATGTAGGTGTTCTACGCTCGCATTGACACGATTTATTTAGATCATATTATTATAAAAGGTGAGCTTCGGCCCTCCTGCCTGTAAAGGCTAACCTGTGTCGAGATGGCCGAGAAGGACGAATCGTGGCAGAGAGACTGAAATATAATTTTTTATTTTGTAAAAATTCTTCCCACACTAGAATCGAACTCAGGTCTTATGCACGCAATGGTGAAGCATCTAACCGCTACACTAGATGCCGAAATAATAGGGGGGATGGGGATGGGGGTCCCCCCCCCCCCCACTATTTAAAAGGCGGTCTGCTTCGGTATTTTCTATTGGGGGGGGGGGGGGTCGTTTGTTTGAGTAAAGAGAAGCACATCGACACAATAATGGTCATTTAGAGCCGGGGAAAAGTAAGACGGACAAACAGCAACAACAGGGAAAGTGAAGAAGTAGGACCTACCAGAGGCGCCCTCCAAAAACTCGTGTTAGTTGGGGTGAGCTATCGGGAGAGCGAGAAGCCGGGGAAGACACTTACCCTAAGCGCACAGGACAACTTTAGTTGCGCAACTGTTTTCTCGCACAAATTTTTTTTAAAAAGGAAATATGAGTGAGATAAGCACCGTGCACAAAGGCAACTGGGGTTTTTTGGAGACTGAAAAGTTTTTGTGTTTTGTCACAACTTTCCGACAGCTCAAATATCCTGGGTTGTACATACCAAACTGACAGACAGTGTGCACAGGCAACCAAACTGTCTTTCCTCTGCTGAAATGCTGCTCCTCCAGTTGGTGTTTCGAAACGTAATTGAGGGTCCCATGAGACGTAAAAATTAATTAAGACAGTCTGGGCTCATACGATAATACTTAAAAACTTGAGGGTATTCTCTCAAATCTATATGCAGTTTGACAAAATGTCCTTTTAAAAACCTCTGACCGGTCAAAGGGTGAACCCAAAACCGCGTTTTCCTTTTCTTCTTCCTAAGTGCAATCACAAGAGCACAGACAACAACTGCGTCGTGGAAGTCCATGACGTCAAATGAGGAAGTCAGTGATGATGATAGCTTACTGTTGACTGGCTGTTGCTTAGCTCTGTGCGTGCGATGTATAAAATAAATTGCCCGGAGACAGCCTTAATAAAAAAAATAACGTTCCCCAGGCCAGAATCTTGCTCACGCCAGCAGAGTGTAACGGCGAAGAGCCGAACCTTTACACCACACTTGCTCTATCCGTACAAATACCTGTAAATATAATTCTACAATATCAACAAAATCGTTCCGGTTCTTCCGTGTCCACCAAATCTAAATAAGTTGCTCTCGGTCTACTACTGTTTCTTTTGGGTCTCTTAAAAAAAATATTTTGATGGAGAGGGCGAGAAATACAAGGCCTTTACGTCTATTCAAACATCCCAGAAACTGCATGTGTGCCTCGTTGTTTTTATTAGAGAGCTTATTAGTGCCAAAGGTTCGAGGCGTTGCTAAGAGAATCGATAGTGATGATAAATGCTTGAGATAGGAAAGAAGGAGCAGACCACAGCAGAGCATCCGCCAACCACCCACCCACATTTCTGTAGCCTAAAACACAATATTAATATCGTCCTCCCTCTCCCACTGGGTTCCCCGTCGGCTGCCTCTGGTCCTGGTTAACTCATGTTACGCCCACACGGGCTGACATTGTGGTCATTAGAACTGAGCACTAAGCCTCCCCCCGGTGGTTCCAGCGAGCTGGCCACTAGACTTAACCGGTCATCGCCTCTAAGAGTTGTCTTGACCCCATGGAATTCTGGACACTCCCCCCCCCCCCTCCTCCACTCATACGGGGGCTGATCAATACTTCCCTGACCTTGAATTATGCATGAAGAAACACCAACATTTCCTTAGTTTTCTCCCCAATTAGGGAGGGTTTTTGACACCCCCATAGTCGACACAATTCAAACCTTTAGGGAGTTGGTTTTTGACCCTATCTGTCAGGGTCATGTCAGGGTCAACCCGAGCTGAGAGGGATATTTCTGCAGAAAGACCGAGATACTGGATTAAAAAAATTCCCTACTCTAGAATTGAACTTGGGTCTTCTGCGGCTACCTCAACAGTATCATTCATTAGTCATTGTAACGGTTTAACGCCCATTTCAATGTTGCCACCCCCCCCCACCCACAAATAACCTCTGAATTTCATTACTTCCATCTCCGTTAAGACTTAACCAAATAGATAGAGCTCCTTAAAACACACTAAAACAACCCAAGTTCTGAACGCCCTGTTGGGGATTCGAACCACGATCCCCGCTTCTTCGTCCAGCATGATATGAACTGAGCTAACGGTGCGCCGGTTTCAGCCAGAGCGCCCATCTTTGTCTGTTTGCTTGAGTGAAGAGAGGCACATCGTCGACAAAATAATGGTCATAGAGTGCTGGGACTAAGTAAAAGAGACAGACAGAAACAACAGGAGGAAAGTAAAGAAGCAGGACCTACCAAAGGCGCCCTCCAACCATCCACGAGCCCATCAAATGAAATACCACTTATAGGATTGATTATAATAGCAATGCAGACAATTTTTTTAGCGCCTGCTCTCGTACAATACAGTTCTAGGCGCCTTACGTTTTAGTAGCGTTAGAGTTTTTAAGGCATTTGAAGCACAAAAAAGTCGTATAATATATATAGGAGCAAAAGATTAGAAGTGTTATAAGAGAGTAAAAAAACACAAAAAAGAAGGATGACAGAAAAGAACGATAGATGTTTAATAGGAAAGAAGGAGCGAGCCACACCAGAGCACCCGCCAACCACTAACTGGGGCGCTTTACAGCACCTTCATCTCCACACAAAACACAAGTGGGTGAACAATCTAGCGGAACATGCGTGCATACCAGAGAGTTCTCTGATGCACACACACATACACGCTCTTTCGATTAACACCAACACATGAGCAAACATTCATACCGTCACGGCACAATGGATAACGATATATATATGCAGATCACATCATAAACAAATGAAGCATTATTATTATGTGGCGAAGAAATGGAGCTACTGAGGGGAGGGGGCAACCCCCCCCCCCCACAAAAAAACAACAACCACAACAACCAACCCCCCCTCCCAAAAAAACACAACAAACAAACAAAACCAAACAAACAAACAACAAAATCAACAAAAAACGAAACCAGGAAAAACAAAACGAAACCCCAATAACAACAAAACAAAAATTCTGCGTGTTTCCAAGCCAAAGCTATACAACAACGTAACCAGCGCAGACGTTACGCAACAATCGCCTATTTCCAAAGAATTCCATCTGTTGCCTTAACTCTTAGCTTACGGAAGGCTGTTCCACATTTGTTTGTGCCCACAGCCGATTTTCACATTTTTAGTAAACAATTTACGGCACTTGCTTGTTTTGTTTTAGTAAGGTTTTACGGCGCTCGTGGCTGCATAAGGTCATATGAGCGCCAAGGGGTGGATGTCAACAGAGAAGTCTGAACGGGGAATCAGGCTCACTCTGCTCACCTCTTCTAGCCTTAACAGCACAAAGTCTGCGTCGACTATCAAGGCACCGGGGAAATAACAGTTCACAAGAGAGTGACGAAGATACAGAAGGAGTAGAGGGAAAATGACGATAGTAAGGATTAGGAAAGAAAAGGCAGCAGTTCCCCCTATGTTGTTCCGACAGAGAATGAAAATGACATTGATAAATCAGCCCATTTACAATATTCTACAGTGCATAAGAACATGTCAATATCCGCACTTTGGGAATGACATAAAGACACTTCAGTCAGCTGCACTGCCT